TGATTTATAGTGATTAAATGCATAAAATAAAAAATATAATAATAATATAGAATGAGCTACCACACAGCTGAACAAATCACTGTTTGAAGGACTCAAATAGCGGGTGAAAGACGTCCACCTGAGGGGGATCTTACAAAGTAAGAACTAGCTGAGATGCAGTTGGCTGTCACTGGGTGTTGCTTTTGTCTCCTTCTTCAGCAGACACATCTACATGGAAGTAGAAAACCACACAGAACATTCAGGATTTCTCCTTTTGGGCCTCTCAGGGGATCTCAAGCTGCAGCCCCTTCTCTTTGGGCTGTTCCTGTCCATGTACCTGGTCACCATGTTGGGAAACCTGCTCATCATTCTGGTAAAAATACACCTGCACACCCCCATGTACTTCTTCCTCTCCATCCTGTCCTTTGTAGACATCTGTTTTGTCTCCACCACCATCCCGAAGATGCTGGTGAACATCCACACACACAGCAGAGACATCTCCTATAGAGGGTGCCTCACTCAGGTGTATTTTTTTATGATCTTTGCTGGTATGGACAATTTCCTACTGACCACAATGGCCTATGACCGATATGTGGCCATCTGTCACCCCCTGCACTACACGGTCATCATGAACCCCCGCCTCTGTGTCCTCCTGGTTCTGATGTCTTGGTTTGTCATTATCTGGGTTGCCTTGGTTCACCTTCTACTAATGATGAGGTTGACCTTCTCTCGAGGCACTGAGATTCCCCATTTCTTCTGTGAAGTGACGCAGATTCTCAAGGTGGCCCAATCTGATACCCTCATCAATAACATTTACTTGTACGTGACGACTGCTCTGTTAGGGGTGTTTCCTGTTACTGGGATCCTCTACTCTTATTCTCAGATTGTCACCTCCTTAATGAAGATGTCCTCCACTTCAAGCAAATATAAAGCATTTTCCACTTGTGGGTCTCACCTCTGCGTGGTCTCCTTATACTATGGAACAAGTCTTGTAGAATACTTGAGTTATACTGTGACCCACTCTTCCCAGAGGAGTTCCATTGCCTCAGTGATGTACACTGTTGTCACCCCCATGTTGAACCCCTTCATCTACACCCTGAGGAACAAGGATGTGAAGGGGGCCCTGGGAAGACTCTTTAGCAGGGCAGTCTCTTGTCCATGATGGATCACTGACCTCAGAACCAAGTAGACATTGTGAGCTCCTGTAATAATTGTGGATTTAAATATCTTGACCCTTTTTCTCTCCTAAAATAAACACACTCCATTATTCTCTTCTCAAAGTGTCTGCGGCTTTGATTTTTATTATTATTATTACTACTTCGTTTAATCACTATACATGTTTACAGAATACAAAATGAATTTCCCCAGGATGAATATGGAAATAAATAAATAATTCTTTTTTAAAAAAAGAAGAAAAAGAAAATAATCTTTAAAAAAAAAAAAAGAATCTTATTCTCCTATACCAAAGTGTCTTCTCCACCCTGAGAATCTCATCAAGAGATGAAAAATATATGGGATCAGCAGATGGCAGAATGGTTACGTCACTGGACTCCCATGTAGTTGACTGCCGTTCAAGTCCCGGACCCGGCTATGTGAAAATCATGCCTGACGCGTGTGCACATGTGCCCAAAATCTCAAGAGGAGATCGGATGAGAGGGGATTGTGGCATGGCCATCCCCTTTAGGGGGTGATTTCTCACCTTCTATCTCTCTCTCTCTATCTCTCCAGCAAGCACACGTGCCCTATAGCAAAAAGTCTCTCAAAAAAATAGATGAGACCATAAGATCTTCTACTTATGGTCTCATTGGTCTATAGGCACTCATGCTCTTTTTATTAATATATTACAAATTAATGACCTGTTTCAAGTGATCTGGGATCACGGAACCATAATCAGCCTTATAATTTTCCAGACCATGAGTCAGCAAGCGGTATGTTGGTTAAGGTGCTGGACTCTCACATGGTCTACCACAGTTCTAGTCCCGGACCTGGTGGCATGAACATTATAACAAAGAAACAGAAAAATAAATAAATACATGTATGTTTTTAAAATAATGATAAATAATTTTCCAGACCAGGATGGACACAGGTGACTGAAACAGTGGAAAGTGGAACCACAGGTAAGGGGATACAACTGTAATAGGAAAAATTGTTGGGTCCTCGGAAGAGTCATGGTGCATTTTTACATAGAAAAACATACACAAATACGTCATGACTTTTCTGACAACCCAATAGAAGCATAAATAACAAGAAAAAGGGAGGCATGGTTCTTTTGCAATGGTAGAAACCAAGAGGGCTCATCACTAGGAGACCTGGGTGATGGAAAAAGAAGGAGCAAAGGATGTACTGATGTAGTACATTTAATCCTGGAGCAATTATTTCTTAAATGGGGGGTCCAGAATTAATTAATGTTTAATAGATTTCGGTGCACGCCTGATGTGTGTGTGTGCATGCCCCAAATCCCAAGAGGTGGTTGGAAGAGAAGGGATTGCCTTGTGGTCATACTCCCAGGTGGGGTGATTTTTTGCTTTCTGTCTCTCTGGCAAGTCCAACTGCCCTATAGTAAAATAAATAAATAAATAAACTCTCAAAATGATTTTCAGTGTACATGTCTTTCAATTCCTTTCAATTTACTCCTAAATATTTTATTTCATTTGTGTCAGTTTTTATAAATAGCAGTATGGATTGCCTGATTCAGTTGTGGTTTTTGTTGTTCTTGTCTTTGAGAGATTTTTACTACAGGGTACATGTGTTCACTGTAGAGACAAAGACAGGAAGCAAGAAATCACAACCTGGAGGGATGGCCTTGCCGCAATCCCTTCTCTCCCATTCGCTTCTCAGAATTTTTGGCATGCACACACACACAAGCCTGGCATGATATTCAAGTCTTCAGGTCTAGGATTCAAACCACAGTTGACCACATGGGAATCCAGCACCCTAGCCACTATGCCACCTGTTGGCCCCCAGCTATGTTTTTAAAAAAGTATTTTTGGAGGTTTAGATACTATACTTTTTTCTTTTTAAAAGAATGTATTATTTATCTATTTATTTGCTGTGAGCTTCAATCCACTGGGTGTGGAACTTGAACCTCAGTCAGCCATGTGGGAACCCAGTACCTCAACCACCATGCTATCTGCTGGCCCCTGGACAATGTACTTCTAACTGATGGTCTACAATTGGTTTGGAGCTGTATTGTTATCTTCTGTGCTACCCAGTCATCATGAATACCAGCATCTGTGAATTGCTTGACATGGTGTATTTTTTGTGAGTCTTTTGGATTCCCAGTTTTATTGACTATAGGTGTCTTCTGGAAAAACATAAAAATATCACATTTTTTGTGACTTTCTTTAACACTTCAACCTTACAGTTCAACCAATAACATATTAACATATTTTTGGTGCCATCTTTGGTGGTATTCTAATCTAGATCCATTGCTTTTATACTCAAATAATTTCCTTCATACTGAGGAGTCCCATTACAAGGTGGGAAATGCAAAGACTTTTTTCACCTGTGAATCTCACTTGTCAGTTGTTTTCTTATTTTTTGGAATAGGACTTGGTATGTATCTTCATTTGTCCCACATTCCACCATGAAGGATACAGTGGCTTTGGTGATGTACATCTCTTATTTTTTCTTTTGTCAGATTTTGCTGTGGGGTGCATACACTCACCAGAGAGAACCAGAGCCTGAAAGAGAAAGAAAGGGAAAGTGAGAAATCACTCCCAAGGGAAGATGTCTCCTTGGGGTTATGGTGTGACCATGCTCCATTGTACGAGCATGTGTGTGTGGAAGGGATGCTTTCTCTCACTCTCTCTTTGGTGAGCGCGTGTCTTGGTTATACATTAGACCCACCTGAGAGCTTTTAAAAATCGTACTCAGGGGCCAGCAGGTGGCATGAGAGTAAAGGCATTGGATTCCTACATGGCCAACTGAGGTTCAAGTCCTGGACCTAGCAGCTTGAGAATCACGCCACATGCATGTGTGTGTGTATTCCCAAAATCATAAGAGGTTGAAGGGGAAGGGATTATAGCATTGCCATCTTCCAACTCGTCCCCTGTAGATGGTGATTTCTTACTTTCCCTCTCTCTCTTCCTCTCTCTCTTTCTCTCTCTCTCTCTGGGGATTGTGGCATGGCCATCCCCTTTAGGGGGTGATTTCTCACCTTCTATCTCTCTCTCTCTATCTCTCCAGCAAGCACACGTGCCCTATAGCAAAAAGTCTCTCAAAAAAATAGATGAGACCATAAGATCTTCTACTTATGGTCTCATTGGTCTATAGGCACTCATGCTCTTTTTATTAATATATTACAAATTAATGACCTGTTTCAAGTGATCTGGGATCACGGAACCATAATCAGCCTTATAATTTTCCAGACCATGAGTCAGCAAGCGGTATGTTGGTTAAGGTGCTGGACTCTCACATGGTCTACCACAGTTCTAGTCCCGGACCTGGTGGCATGAACATTATAACAAAGAAACAGAAAAATAAATAAATACATGTATGTTTTTAAAATAATGATAAATAATTTTCCAGACCAGGATGGACACAGGTGACTGAAACAGTGGAAAGTGGAACCACAGGTAAGGGGATACAACTGTAATAGGAAAAATTGTTGGGTCCTCGGAAGAGTCATGGTGCATTTTTACATAGAAAAACATACACAAATACGTCATGACTTTTCTGACAACCCAATAGAAGCATAAATAACAAGAAAAAGGGAGGCATGGTTCTTTTGCAATGGTAGAAAACAAGAGGGCTCATCACTAGGAGACCTGGGTGATGGAAAAAGAAGGAGCAAAGGATGTACTGATGTAGTACATTTAATCCTGGAGCAATTATTTCTTAAATGGGGGGTCCAGAATTAATTAATGTTTAATAGATTTCGGTGCACGCCTGATGTGTGTGTGTGCATGCCCCAAATCCCAAGAGGTGGTTGGAAGAGAAGGGATTGCCTTGTGGTCATACTCCCAGGTGGGGTGATTTTTTGCTTTCTGTCTCTCTGGCAAGTCCAACTGCCCTATAGTAAAATAAATAAATAAATAAACTCTCAAAATGATTTTCAGTGTACATGTCTTTCAATTCCTTTCAATTTACTCCTAAATATTTTATTTCATTTGTGTCAGTTTTTATAAATAGCAGTATGGATTGCCTGATTCAGTTGTGGTTTTTGTTGTTCTTGTCTTTGAGAGATTTTTACTACAGGGTACATGTGTTCACTGTAGAGACAAAGACAGGAAGCAAGAAATCACAACCTGGAGGGATGGCCTTGCCGCAATCCCTTCTCTCCCATTCGCTTCTCAGAATTTTTGGCATGCACACACACACAAGCCTGGCATGATATTCAAGTCTTCAGGTCTAGGATTCAAACCACAGTTGACCACATGGGAATCCAGCACCCTAGCCACTATGCCACCTGTTGGCCCCCAGCTATGTTTTTAAAAAAGTATTTTTGGAGGTTTAGATACTATACTTTTTTCTTTTTAAAAGAATGTATTATTTATCTATTTATTTGCTGTGAGCTTCAATCCACTGGGTGTGGAACTTGAACCTCAGTCAGCCATGTGGGAACCCAGTACCTCAACCACCATGCTATCTGCTGGCCCCTGGACAATGTACTTCTAACTGATGGTCTACAATTGGTTTGGAGCTGTATTGTTATCTTCTGTGCTACCCAGTCATCATGAATACCAGCATCTGTGAATTGCTTGACATGGTGTATTTTTTGTGAGTCTTTTGGATTCCCAGTTTTATTGACTATAGGTGTCTTCTGGAAAAACATAAAAATATCACATTTTTTGTGACTTTCTTTAACACTTCAACCTTACAGTTCAACCAATAACATATTAACATATTTTTGGTGCCATCTTTGGTGGTATTCTAATCTAGATCCATTGCTTTTATACTCAAAGAATTTCCTTCATCCTGAGGAGTCCCATTACAAGGAGGGAAATGCAAAGACTTTTTTCACCTGTGAATCTCACTTGTCAGTTGTTTTCTTATTTTTTGGAATAGGACTTGGTATGTATCTTCATTTGTCCCACATTCCACCATGAAGGATACAGTGGCTTTGGTGATGTACATCTCTTATTTTTTCTTTTGTCAGATTTTGCTGTGGGGTGCATACACTCACCAGAGAGAACCAGAGCCTGAAAGAGAAAGAAAGGGAAAGTGAGAAATCACTCCCAAGGGAAGATGTCTCCTTGGGGTTATGGTGTGACCATGCTCCATTGTACGAGCATGTGTGTGTGGAAGGGATGCTTTCTCTCACTCTCTCTTTGGTGAGCGCGTGTCTTGGTTATACATTAGACCCACCTGAGAGCTTTTAAAAATCGTACTCAGGGGCCAGCAGGTGGCATGAGAGTAAAGGCATTGGATTCCTACATGGCCAACTGAGGTTCAAGTCCTGGACCTAGCAGCTTGAGAATCACGCCACATGCATGTGTGTGTGTATTCCCAAAATCATAAGAGGTTGAAGGGGAAGGGATTATAGCATTGCCATCTTCCAACTCGTCCCCTGTAGATGGTGATTTCTTACTTTCCCTCTCTCTCTTCCTCTCTCTCTTTCTCTCTCTCTCTCTCTCTTTCTGTAAGCACAGATACCCTAGGGCAAAACCTAAAAAAATTAAAAACATCATGCTATGTCATATTCTACTCCAGTTCATCTGAATGCTCAGTGGTGGGGCCCAGGTGTAAGGGTTTTTAAAGTTCACCAAGAGCTTTCAATGGCATGTATCCTCTCATATAACCTGTATCAATAAGTTCAATCAATGTCAAAGGTCATAGAAATAGACACAGATTATGAAAAAAGTAGGGGTATGTATGTATATTAACAAAAAAGAGATGGGACCAGCAGGTGGCGTGGTGGTTAAGGTGCTGGACACTCTCACATGGCTGACCAGGGTTCGAGTCCTGAATCTGGTGGCTTGCTTTCTCACTTTCTCTCTCTCTCTCTCACTCTCACCCTCTGTCTCTCTTTGGTCAAATTAAAAAATAAATGAATGAATAAGTAAAATGAATAATTATTTAAAAAAATAGAAAGAGCTGCACATTCCTCCACCTAGATCACTGATAACAAATGCAAAAGATTCCATAGGTGTTGTTGGGCTCAATATGTAGCGAGTTTTTCTTTTGTTTTTAGTACTCATGACTTTTATTTTTATTAGCATTTATTTGTATACTGAAATTATTAACAAATATTTGCATCCAAGAAGGGATTAGTAACCAGAATATACGAGGAACTCACACTCAGCAGAAAAAAAGCAGATAATCCAATATAAAAATGGGCAAATGACCTAAACAAAGAATTCCCAAATGACATACAAATGCCCGAGAACATGGTAAAAAGTGCTCAACATCACCAATCATTAGGGAAATGCAAATCAAAGACACAATGTGTGTTTTGAAAGAGAGAGAGTCCCAGAATATTTTATCAGTCCTATTAAATATATGCTAATTGAGACAATATTCAAATATGAAACACGAATGTCAGGAGAACCAAGAAAAATTTTTTAATTATCTGACCAAAAATGCATGCTTTCCACTTTCAGATGGTAGGTCTTAATATCTTTTATTGTTATTATTATTATTATATTAACATTCAATTACTGCATATCATTACAACATACCAAATGAATTTGCCCATCATGAATATACTGTATACTGGTTCAGTTAGATATTACCATACACATTTTCATCAACAGATAATTTTCTGGTTTTGTGTCCCTAAAATGTTTTGCTTCTTTCTTTTTCCCTTTGATTCCCTCCCCTTCAACCCTCCCCCCCATTTCCCAACTTCTACGCACAGTCTCTGGTCCACAGTTGCTCTTCATGCCTTTACACGCACCAATCTTTCAGTTTCTACCATAGAGTGCAGACATTCAGTATATATTGAGTGGGGACATACAATGCCTCTCTTTCATAGTCTGGCTTGCTTCACTTAGCAGTTCTAATCTTCAGATCATAGAAGATAGGGTTTGCAGGTGAGGAGAGAAGAGAACATTTAACAGACATAAGAATGGAAAGTTACAATGTATGGTTATACCTTTGACTTCCTTGACATACAATGCATTTATGCTTTGAGAACCCATATCATGTGCTGTAAAAACATGCAATGATTAAATGTAAATTGTAAAGATGATTTTAAAAAGAAAGGATAGTCAAGGATCTGAGATTAGGCTGCTCTATTGAGTAGCCTCTGCAGAGCCCACTTGATGTCCCTATTCCTTAGGCTGTAGATAAAGGGGTTCAGCATGGGGGTGATTGCAGTGTACACCACTGAGGTCACCATACCCTTCTTGGGAGACTGTGAGAGAGCTGAACTGAGGTATACATCTATGCTTGTTCCGTAAAATAAGCAAACAACTGACAGGTGAGAGACACAGGTGGAAAAGGCTTTATACCTCCCACCTATCGATGAGACTTTCAAAATTGTGGAAACAATTCTAGTATAAGAGAAAACAATCCCCGAGACTGGAACACTACCAAAGATGACGGTTAAAAAATACATAATTATGTTAGAGGTGGAGCTATTATTGCAGGCGAGTTTGAGGAGCTGTGGAGGTTCACAGAAGAAATGAGGAATCTCCACATTTGTGCAGAAGGTCAGTTGTGACATTATTACACAGTGTAGCTGGGAATCCAGAACACTGCTCAGCAAAGCCACGAGGAGCAGCAAGCCACAGACACGGGGGTTCATGATGACCTGGTAGTGCAGAGGATAGCAGATGGCCACAAACCGATCATAGGCCATCTCAGCGAGGAGCATGCTGTCTAAACAGCCAAAAAACGCAAAAAAGGACACCTGAGTCAGACAGCCTGCGTAGGAGATGACTCTGCTGTGAGATGGGATGTCCGCGATCATCTTGGGGACGATGGTGGAGCTGAACCCGATGTCAGCCAAGGACAGATTGGCGAGGAAGAAGTACATGGGGGTGTGCAGGTGGGAGTCAGAGCTGACGGTCAGGATAATGAGCAGGTTCCCAAGCACAGTGACAAGGTACATGGACAGGAACAGCCCAAAGAGGACGGGCTGCAGTTCTGGATCTTCGGAGAGCCCCAGGAGGAAGAAGTGCATGACAGCTGTCTGATTCCATGGTTCCATTAACAGAGACACCTTTCAGAAAATAAGCGAGAGTCAGCATAAAGGCAAGAAGCACACAGATACCCATCATTCCGTGTGTATTGTAGATTCAAGCAACTCACACGTGAGCGTCTCTCCTCACTGGTTTGTTTCATTCACCTACGAAGGGACTTCGCAATGATCGTGGGAGGGCTGACTCCATAGCCTAGTCCTTAAGGGAGCTGGGTCCCACATAGCTGACGGTGCAGTTCAAATCCTGGCCCCAGGAACCTGAAAAACATACCAGGTGGGAGTGCATCCACACGTGCTCAAAATCCTGGCAGGATGGAGAAAAAGAGGAGAAAGGATTGCAAAATGATGATGCCCCATTAGGGGTGCTTTTTCTTTCTCCCTGTCTCTGTCGCTCTCTAGTGAGCAAGGATGACCTCCCCTCTGACTTTTTTTTTTTTTTTCAAAAAGTTAATGGGAGGGGCCAGCAGGTGTTTTGGTGGTTAAGGTGCTAGACTCCCACATGGCAGCCTGAAAATCATGCTAGGCATGTGTGCATGCCCAAAACCCCAGGAGGATAATAGAGAGGGACCGCAGTGGGGCCATCTCCCCAGGGGGTGGTTAATCCTTTCTCTCTGTCTCTGTTTCTGTCTCTCTCTTTGGCAAGCACACAGCCCTGATGGCAAAAACCTTAAATTCTATTTTTAAGTTAATGGCAAAATGAATTAAACTACATGTTTTTGGGGCCCAGCTGGTGTCATGGTGGCTGGGGTACTGAACTCTCAGATGACCAACTACAGTTTGAGTCCTGGACCCTGTGTCTCGAGTATCACGCCAGGTGTGTGTGTGTGTGTGTGTGTGTGTGTGCCCAAAATCCCAAGAAGAGAATGGAGGAGAAGGGATTGTAGCTTGGCCCTTCCCCCTCTAGTGAACATGCACAGCCTATGGTAAAAAACAAACCAAAAAAATTTAATTTAAATTAAAAAGAATTTCTTTCGTAGCAACATGTCTTTTAAATCTATGCAAAGTTTTTTAATATATCATTTTCATTTTCTATGAACATGCTGAGACCCCCACATATTTCTTTTTTTTTTTTGAGAGATTTTTGCCATAGGATGCATGCACTTGCCAGAGAGACAGAGAGAGACAGAGAGATAGAAAGCGAGAAATCACCCCCCAGGGGGGGTGGCCACGCCGCAATCCCTTCTCCTCCATTCTCCTCTCGGGATCTTGGGCATGCAAGCACACGCGCCCGGCGTGAGTTTTAAGCCACCGGGTCCAGGATGCGAACCGCGGTCGACTACATGGGAGTCCAGTGACATAGCCATTACACTAACTGCTGGTCCCATCCCCCACATATTTCTTTATGTCTATTTTTGAAACACTGGGCCAAAAAAAATTTATAGAATCAAAGCTATTTAGAGATTTAAAAGCAAAATCATAAGCACACTAAAATATTATTCTCCTTTGAAGGAAACATAAGGGAGAAGAGGTATACATCTCCTTTAAAGGAAAAAAGTTCTCATTAAAGATACTAATATGAAGTTCACTTTATCCCAATTCAGCAAGGGCATTGTCACTTGTGTGTGTGTGTGTATAACCTGAAAAGAAAAGAAAAAGAAAAAAATAGTAGAATGAAAATGAGAGACAGAATGTAATGTTCTTTGTTGAAGAGGATGAATATGATCATCCCCTTGACTTGATGGTCACACACTGCATGCATGCTCTGAAAAATCTATGTTGTGCCCTACCAAGATGCACAACAATTAAATCTAATAAGAAATTATAAAACTAAATTCGAAGCAACATAATTTTTAAATAATGTATAACTTCATTCAATAGAATGTCTGGAGGGGCAGCAGATGACATAGTGGTTAAGGCACTGGACTCTCACTTGGCTAACCACAGTTCAAGTCTCAGACCCAGTGGCTTAGAACTCATGCCAGGCATGCGTGGGTGCCCAAAATCCCAGGAGAAGAATCAAAGAGAAGAGATTGTGAAGAAGCTACCCTCCCTGGGGTGATTTCTCACTTTCTCTTTCACTGTCTCTTTCTCCAGTGAGCACACACTCCTTGTGGCAAAAACCTAAAAAAAAAGAAAACAGAAAAGAAAAGAAAAAAAGAAAGTCTGATACTTTTTTGAAGGAATGTAAACCCGAATTCCCACACTAACCATAATTAAAACTTCCAAGCCATCACTTCCTTCAACTCTCGTATCATTTCGGGCCAGCATAGAAGGGCTGCTCTGCTCTCCCCAGGCCAGGGCTTTTCTACATAAGAGGAGTAACATGTTTCCTACCCTCTTTAAGTTTTTATTTATTTGTTTCTTCCACGAGCAGGAGAGAGGCAGCTCCCTCAACAGGGTCTTTTTGCCACAGTCTCCACCCTCGGCATCACCCAACCCTGGCCCATGGGTGCACATGTGCCTGGCATGCTCAGTGAAGTCTCAGGACATGGACACAGGGTGTCCCCATGTGGGTCAGCCTGGCAGTGTCATGCTTTACTGCTGGGTGTCACTGTCTAGCTCTGATACCCTCATGTGGACAGAAACAACTTTTGGGGCCAGCAAATGACATGGGGGTTAAGGCAGCTGGATGCCCACATGCTTAACTATGCATTTCAAGTCCCTGACCCAGCGGCTTGAAACACATGCCAGGCATGTGTGCGTGCATGCCCAAAATCTTGAGAAGACAATGGAGGAGAAGGAATTGTGCCATGGCCATCCCTCTAGGGCTGAGGGGTGATTTCTCACTTTCTCTTTCTCTCTGTCTGTCTCCAGTTGCACACGCACCCTATAGGAAAAATTAAATTTAAAAAAATTGGGAATGAAGATTCATTTAATTTTTATTTATTATTATCATTGTTATTTTTCCAATTTGCTACAGGGCGCATGGACTCACCAGAGAGAGAAAGAGAGGGAAAGTGAGAAAGCAAGCTGCCAGGTCCGGGACTCAAACCATAGTTGGCCATTATCTTCTCAGGATCTTGGGCACGCATGCGCACATGCCAAGTATGAGCTTGAAGGTGTCAAGAGTGCAGCCTCCTAACCACCATGCCGCCTGTGGGCCCGGGAGGCTCGTTCTTTCTGCAGCATTCACAACCTTTGATGCAGTGGACATGGCACTGGGACAATGGCAGTAAGATTCCAGACAGTCCCACCTCCCACACTCACTGGGCTGGACAGGGTCTTGACGGTGATACGGTCTGGGAGTTTGGACACGCCGCCGTCCTCCATGTGGTGAATGATGTAGGCTGAGGCTTCGTCTTTGAACTGGCGAGAAGACAGAGTCAGACATGGACCCTCTGCTAGAGCCGATGACACTGGGAGAAGGAGACACCACTCTGAAGCTCACAGAACTGAGACCAGTAGCCAGAGGGGCCAAAGAAATAGGCTGGTTATGACACTTGGGTGGCCTTGAGAGGCCCACGTTCAGAGCTCACAATTAGTCAAATTGGCCCGTGTTTCCCAGTCTCTGAGGACATGCTGGTATTCACGGGAGAAGAGAAACATAAATAGCTTGGAAGGGCCTGGGATTTTCCTCCTCTCAGGAGGAATTTCACGTGTACGCTCAACTTTTTTTCAAGAATTATTTTATTTTGTTATTATTATCTCTTTGTTTATTTTAATTTGACTAGAGAAAAAGAAAGTGAGAAAGCAAGCTTCCAGATCCATGACTCAAACCCTGGTCAGCCATGTGGGAGTCCAACGCCTTAACCACCACACCACCTGCCAGACCCATACTTTTAACTTGTTGGGTTTTTTTGGTTTTGGGGGGAGTTTTTTTTGTGTGTGTGTTTTTCGGAGAGGTTTTTACTATAGGGCATGTGTGCTTGCCAGAAAGACAGAGAGAGACAGAGAGACAGAAAGCAAGAAATCACCCCCCAGGGGGGATGGCCACACCGCAATCCCTTCTCCTCCATTCTCCTCTCGGGATCTTGGACACGCACGCACACACGCCCAGCATGAGTTTAAGCCACCAGGTCCGGGACTCCATGGGAGTTCTCCATGGGAGTTCAGCGACATAGCCATTACGCTAACTGCTGGTCCCCCCATACTTTTAACTTTTGACTTCCAATTTCAAAGAATCTTTTTATTATTTAATTTAATTTTTTTTTTCATTTGCTATAAGGTACATGTGCACACCAGAGAGAGACAGAAAGAGAGAGGAAAAGTAAGAAAGCAAGTCACCAGGTCCAGGACTCAAGCTGCAGTTGGCCATGTGGGAGTCCACCACCTTTACCACCGTGCCACCTGCTGATCCCACAATTTCAAAGGATTTTGAGGTAAAATGTAACGTTTTGTTTTTAAAGCTAATTTATAAAGAGAAGGGATTGAACCCTCATCATCCTGCCTAGGCAATGATTTCTCGCTTTCCCTCTCTGTCTCTCTCCAGCAAGCACAAGTGCCCTATGGCATAAACCTTAAAAAAAATTTTAAAATAAAATGTGCATGGTATTTGTACTAGAAAAAGCAATGTTGTACACTGAAAATGTGTATGTGATTAAGTGTAAATTAAAATTTTAAAAATAGCTACTAAGGGGACCAGCAGTTAGCATAATGGCTATGTCACTGGACTCCCACGTAGTTGACCGCGGTTCAAGTCTCGGACCCGGTGGCTTAAACTCACGCCGGGTGCATGTGCGTGTGTGCCCAAGATCCCGAGAGGCGAGTGGAGGAGAAGGGATTGCGGTGTGGCCATCCCCACCGGGGGTGATTTCCAGCTTTCTGTCTCTCTCTATCTGTCTGGTGAGTGCACGTGCCCTATAGCAAAAACCTCTCTAAAAAAAATAGCTACTAAGAAAACAAATTAGTAGCTGGTTGTTCCTGATATCTTTTGGTTTTCACAAGTAGCCAAGGGTATGGTTTTGAAAATAAATTAGGTGACTGTAAGTAGGACAATTATAAGTACACTTTTCATGCTATTTAAGATCTTAACGTTGTGCTATATTAGAGTAATAAGTATTCATTAAAACAAATAAATAAAAATGTAAAAATAAAAATAGATGAATATTTGCAGACCGTAATCTCATAAGCAGCGTCTCAGATCTGCCATATTGTATCGCGGACTGCAAAAAGCCAAGAGTACAGAAGGGGGCTCATGGGAAATATATTAGAAGCCGCCCACTCTACAGACCTCATTTCACACTGAGGCTCAAAGCACAAGATTTTTCAAACATCACCCTGCTTTCCAGCATTGCCCAGAACCTATTGTAACATCATGCTCCTAGCAAAAATTCCCTACCAAAGAACTGGGTGATTTCTCACTTTCTGTATTCCTGTCTCTCTGTCTTTCTCTCTAGGGGTAGGCAGGTGGCATGGTGATCGAGGTGCTGGACTCCCCACATGGCCAACTGCAGTTCAAGTCCCAGACCTGGTGACTTGACTTTCTCACTTTGTCTCTCTAGTCAAACAAAAAATTATAATAAATAAATTAAATTAAACTAATTGTTTTGAAAATCTGAAAGAAAGAAAGAAAGAAAAAATAAAGAAAAACACACTGGGTGCATTTGTATGTGTGCCCAAAATCCTGAAAGGAGGGAGAAATGGAAGAACAGAGATTCTGCATGACCATGCTCCAAGCTGGGAGAGAGCTTTCTCACTTTCCCTCTCTCTGAACAAACTGCAAAAACAATGTCTCAGGGCTGAGGCAGGAGGTGGTGAGGTAACTAAGGCACAGGACTCCCACATGGTCAACCGCAGTTTGAGTCCCAGAACTGGTGGCTCTCTCTCTCTCTCTCTCTCTCTCTCTCTCTCTCTTTCTCCCTCTCTCTCTCTCTTATCTCATAAGTGTGCATGTACTGGACCAAATTAAAATAATAATAATTAATAAATAAATAAAATTACATAAGTAATTATTAAATAAATAAAAATTAAAAGTGTCTTGGGACCAGCAGGAGATGTGGTGGCTAAGGTACTAGATTGCCATATGGCCAACCATTGTCCAACTGCTGAAGCAGGTAGCTTAAAGACCACAACAAATAAATAGATAAATAAATCATCGTTTTACTGTATCAAAGAAAACAGGATTTGCAGATCAATATGTTTAGATGTGCTGCAATTTTCAATCTGCATTCCAAATAGGTGGCACAGGTATTAAGATTAAATTCTTCTGCTGTGACGCCCCCACAGGGCATTTTTAATGTCCCTGTTCCTCAGGCTGTAGATGAAGGGGTTCAGCATGGGGGTGACCACAGTGTACATCATCGAAGCCACTGCACCCTCTCTGGGAGACAGGGAGACAGCTGAACTCAGGTAGCTTCCAAGGGCTGTTCCAAAAAATAAGCAAACAACCGACAGGTGAGAGCCACAGGTAGAAAAGGCTTTGTATTTCCCACCTGGTGATGAGATCCTCAGAATGGAAGAGAGAATTTTGTAGTAAGAGAAAAGGATCCCAGAGAGAGGAAGAAACCCAAAAGGGGCCCCAACAAAATACATGATTAGATTATTGGTGACAGAGTCTAAACAGGCAAGGTTTAAGAGCTGAGATGGGTCACAGAAGAAGTTAGGAATGTCCACGCCCTTGAAGTAAGTAAACTGTAATATAATCAAATTGTGTAACTGGGAGTCCAAAAGGCTGAGAGAAAACGACACCAAAACGAAGATGCCGCAGAGGCGTGGGTGCATGATGACCGCGTAGTGCAGGGGGTGACAGATGGCCACGAACCGGTCATAGGCCATCGCCGTCAGAAGCATGCCGTCCATGCATCCAAAAAGGACTGAAAGGGACATCTGCGCCAGGCAGCCTGCGTAGGAGATGGCTCTGCTGCCCGATTGGATGTCCACGATCATCTTGGGGACGGTGGTGGAGGAGAACCCGATGTCAGCCAAGGACAGGTTGGAGAGGAAGAAGTACATGGGGGTGTGCAGGTGGGAGTCAGAGCCGACAGCCAGGACGATGAGCAGGTTCCCCAGCACGGTGACCAGGTACATGGACAGGAACAACCCAAAGAGGACAGGCTGCAGCTCTGGATCCTCTGAGAGGCCCATCAGGAGGAATTCTGAGACACGGGTCAGATTTTGTGATCCTTTGTAGCTAGAGAACCTTTTATAAAGAGGGTTGGAAACAGGAAAAGTAAAGTGGAATGCAGCATTGCTTCTATATTTTGAATTCATGTAACTCACTAAAGTCCTCACATAGAGCAGCATGACCCTCAGCAATACTGCTCAGTTGGGACATGCCCAATCTTAGAATTGTTTCATTATTGGCTCCCGTGTTATTCTTCTCTTTCTTTGCATAGCTATTTTAGAGACACTCAATGGAAAAAGGTTGGAAGACCAAAAACATTAGAGATAAATCTATGATCACAGTGGAATACAGCCTACTTTTTTTTTTTTTAAGTTTTTGCCAGAGGGCACATGTATTCACTGGAAAGAGACAAAGAGAGACAGTGAAAGGGAAAATAAGAAATCACTACCTAGGGAGATGGCCACAGTGCAATCTCTTCTCTTCCATTCTCCTCCCGGAATTTTGGGCACACGCACACATGCCCCTGGCGTGAGTTTCAAGCCAATGGGTCCAGAACTCAAACTGTGATTGACCATGTGGGAATCCAGGACCTTAACCACTATACCACCTGCTGGTCCCAAGAAATAAACTTTAAAGAATGAAAAAGACAGACCACATTGAAATACCTTTTATTACAGCATATTGTTATAATGATTCTATTATTAGTTATTGTCATTGATCTCTTACCATGTCTAATCTATATGACATTTATCAAAGATAATATATATGTAGGCAAAAACATTAGACGTAGAGGTTGTTACTCTCTGAGGTTCCAGGCATCCACTGGGAGTTTTGGAACATATCTTCTGCAGTTAAGGGAGAACTGTTGCTAGGGCCAGCAGGTGGTATAGTGGTTAAGGCACTGGACTTGCACATGGCTGACCACAGTTTGAGTCCCAAATCTGAAGACTTGCTTTTTCACTTTCTCTCTTTCTCTCTCTCTCTCTCTCTCTCTCTCTCTCTCTCTCTTGAAAAACCAAATCTAGGAACCACCAGCTGGTGTAATGGTTACATTGCTGGACTCCCACATAACTCACTGCAGTTCAAGTCCCGGACCTGGTGGCTTAAAACTCATGCCAGGTTCATGTGTGTACATACCCAAAATCCGGAGAGGGGAATGGAGGAGAAGGAGTTACAGTGTGGTCATTCTCTCTAAGGGATGATTTCTTACTTTCTGTCTTTGCCTCACTGACATGTGCATACGCCCTATAGCAAAAGTATCTCTTAAAAAAATAATAATCACATTCAGGTGCCCACCGGTGGTTTGGTGCTTAGGGCACTGAACTCCCATATGGCCAACCACAGTTCATATCCCAGACCTGACAGCTTACTTTCTCACTTCCTCTCTCTCTTTTCTTCTCTCTCTCTGGTGAGCATATGTGCCCTATAGCAAATTTAAAAGCAATGTTAATAAATAAATAAAATAAAATAATTCTTTTTAAAAAATACAAATTAAGTTCACCTAGGGGTAGATGAACCGAGAAAACTCTGAGCTGAAACTTTGTATACTGGTATCCTCCCAACTGTCTAACCCAACTGTCACTTTGGCCCGCTAAGGAGGAATCAATTCCTGACAGGCCCCCTCCCTCTGCCCCCTCACTGAGCACTCACTGGGCTGCACTGAGTATCTTCTCATGCATGACCAAGGTGTGAATCCACCACTTCGCTCCCGTCTGCTGTGCAGTGAAGCCTCAGGCTCTGTCCTCCAAACTTGAAAGAACAGAGACTCAGGACGGGGCTCCTGTTACAGATGCACAGGAGGGGAGTAGACGCTGATGGAGCTGCCCTACTGGAGCTGGCAAATAACGGTCTGAAGACACGGGCCAATTATTTACAATCGCACGACCTTGGGGGCCCAATGCACAGGCCTCCTAATTAGCCAACTGGTCCGTGTTCTCCCCGTCTCTTAGGACTTGCTGATCCGAGCTGAAGAGGATGAGCCGGAAAGGTGTCCGTGGAAGGGTCTGTCTGGGCCCTCGCTCTTCTCAAGAGGGAGTTTGCATAGACTCCTTATTTTTAAACTCCACATTGCAAGGCCATTTGGTGGTGTGGAAGTTAAGGTGACTGGACCACACATGGCTGACTGTGTGGTTCAAATCCTGGACCTGGAGGCTTGAAAAATCACACCCGGTGCATGTGCGTGCCCAAAATTCTGAGAGAACAATGTAGGAGAAGGGATTGCAACCTAGAGGGGTGATTTCTCACTTTGAACTTCATTCTCTCTGTCTCTATCTAGTGAGCATATGTGCTCAATGGCAAAAAAAAAAAAATCCATGTTGCAAAATCTTACCACAAAGTTCAGACCTTTTTTTAATTTAGTAAATCAGTGTGTTATTTTGACAGCTATAAACCCATTGGATTAGTCAGGAGTCTTGGGAGAATTAGGTTTACTATACCAAGAATGAGGTGTTATTTCATTCCCAAAATTATTTGCCTTTAGGACCAGCAGTTAACATAATGGCTATGTGGCTGGGCTCCCACGGAGTCAACCAAGTTCGAATCCTAGACCCC